GAGAGAGAGAGAGAGAGAGAGAGAGAGGGGTTGAAAAGAGGAAAAGAAAATACACGGAACGCGATAAACGTCGGGGATAGGATGTAAACAAGGGAGGAAATTACGAGGAATCGAAAAGCTCCGGGGGAGGAAGGAGGAAGCGTGGTTTGAAAGCTCTGATGGGAGCGACACGAATCCCCACGGCTGAGCAAATGTTTAATGTGTAATTAAAAACTAACATCGTCTATTATGACGTATCTTCTTGTTCCTGGGCGAACAGCAGCCGGCCCGTGGTGTTACACCACCACCAATGTTGGGCCAATAACCTGGGCCACTTTCGCGGAAACGGAGAAAGAGGAAGAGGGGTTTGTTTCGAATCGTGGAGAAATTACCAGCACCGAGGCGGGTGTATAACTCGAACGCCCGAGGGAACGCCCGCCAATAATGTCTCTGGATTATTGTAACCTGGAAAATTGCCGTTTCTTCCACCTGGAACTAAGAAAAGGGAGGAGAGAGGGGAGGGTTTTCGATCTCGATTCCACTTCTCGATTCCACGCGCTCCTTTCCAGCCCGCGAAATATCGAATCAATGGGAAACGATTTTTTTCCTCTTTTGTGCTCAGCACGCCTGAGGGAATCTTTCTTTCGACCCGCGTACATTTAGCCTATGCGAAAAATCGGGAGGCATTGTTGAGGAGGCATCGCTTCGAGTGGGACGACGCGCGGGCCCATCGCGCGGTGTTGTTGCATCCTCGTTTTGAATCCTTTATGCAATCGAATACGTGATTTCTCGTGATCAATCTTTGAAAGGCGACAGTAACTTTGCACGCATTATTGATGGAAACCTGGGGGGGATTTCCTCTAGTCTCCTTGGAAACGAACGGGGTTCGATGATGAGCTAGCTAGCTATATGGATCGTCGTCGTTACACGTATACGAGTCTCCTCTCTTTATGGTCAATTTATGCATCGATCGGCGAGAAAAAGAGTGGAGGGAGGAAAAGGAATGGAGGAAGGAACAGCCGGAATGGTTGTATCTGTGTCACGAATTCGCTCGTTCGAAAGACCTTCGGAGATCGATACAACCTCGTCCTTTCGAACATTTTATATATATATATATATATTATTTTTTTTTTATATTATTGAAGCAAAAGAGTAATAAGAGATTCGCGTGTACTTTGTTATTCAATCGAAAGGCGAGGTGGACGAAATGGCACGCAATATGAAGAGTCTTGTCTTGAATGTGTTCGTTTTGTCAAACGAGAATATGAAGTATAGGATGCAATGAGGCGGCGGCGCACAAATCTAGCCGCTCCTAGGCGCACCTTTTCTCCGGACAGAGGACGCCACTGAAACGAACGAATAATTACCATGATTGCCCCGCTTCCGCGGTTGATTTCGCTTCTCCTCTGCCTCTCCCTCTCCGTCTCTCCTTCTCTTTCCATTCTTCGCTTTCTCCTTCCCTTCTGTCCTTTCACAATTATACTATAATTACCACTATAATTACCGCCGTTTTGTCCCCTATTTTCGTCGACCGGCGCAGTTAAATTCGAAATTTCGTCATTGGATGATAAATTGGCGTGTTTGACTCGAAATTAGACTCGGAGGCGGATTCGTTTTCTTCGGATTCCATCGTTTGATATTTGATTATAAATTCGAAGAGTTTTGAATGTTTAAGCTCGAGCTCGAAATTTTCTTTGAAATATCGAAACGTTGAAGAAGACAATTTTGAAAAAATTAATTAATTTTCAAAGAGTGGCTGGCAAACTCTTAATTAAGATCCGATTTAATTTATTTTGTCGTTTCTTTGGAGAATCGAGCTGGAGTTGAATATCAGACGGACGCGTATATTTTGGCGAGAAGGTTTATCGTTCATCGGTAGTCTGAATTAATTTTTCTTTTTTCCCCTCCTCTTCGCGTTATCGGATATTATCACGGGCTAATGTAACGCGCGTATTTACACGTGGAAATCTTCTTACGGTGTTATTTCACCCGTGGACGGGATCCCCCCTCGGTATAAGCTATATAACAAACAACAATCGGGGAACCGGGACTTTACAATAAATTATTCGAGTGCAGGCTCGATTGCGAGCGGCCAGATTGCACCGGAATCGGGAACGCGCGAAATTTCATTTTAATCCGATTTAAAAGGTATCCGCTGCGACTGACATCGACCACTTGTCAGTTAATTTAATAGAGACACCTGTTTTTCCCCCCTGTTAATCAACGGAAAATACTATATCCAGGCTAAACAACCAAATAAATTAACGAAGCTTATTGCTGCGTTAATCCTCTAAACCGGTTAAAATAACAAACAAATAACATCAAAGAATTGGAATAAATTAGTTCGTTTCCTCCTATCCAAAAAAAAGAAAAAAAGAATCAGATTATCAGCTACTCGATAATTTTAATTCGACGAATTCCTCACTTTACATTTGTCTCTTTCTACGAAGAAATATTCGTGGCCTCTTTCGATCGCTCCTCCGATCAATGCCTCTTTTCCAATCGTTGTTTGCAAAAATATTTTCAGCATCCATCGATCGATCGTGCACAAATTATATCCTTAATACAATAATATTTGACGCACAGGTTCCAAAGCGTGGTTCGAAAAGCGGATTCGGAATAAATTCCACGTCGAGGAAGAACGCGGCTGTCCGCGACAGCTTGGTGGAGGTTAAAGGTCCCGGGGGCATGGAAATCCATCTTTGGGAGACGGACGAGCCCGAGGTCAGCCAAGACTCGCGGCCTCGGCAATCCCTTGGCCGCGTTCCAGCCTTTCTTCGCTCGAATCGAGTCGGCCGACGGTCTGCAAAACACGCGTCGTCTCGCGGTATCCTCGTAAAAATTTCACTCCGCACAATTTAATCGCGCGCACGATACGGCTTTTCACCGTGTCCCCCAGATTTATAATCGGCCAATTTAAACGCACGAACGTGCGTAGCTCGGTGGACCGATCGCGAAAAATCGAAGATGATTGGACGATGCTGACGCAGTGCCCGCCATTTTTTGAGAGATCTATATTTATAATTTTCTTCTTTTTTTATATAAGATATTTCGACTAAGTTATGCAGTAATTGAAAGGAAATTTGATCCTTTAGTTGAATATATTTTAATTTTTCGAACAAGCACAATGGACAGAATAATTATATTTAAATTATTGGTATAGAAAGATAGGATCTGGAATGAAAAAGAAATCTAAAATATCGCAGGAAGAAAGGAAAAAGTTGAAATAGGCGAGAATCTTGAGAGAGAAAGAGAATGGTATTTTTGGTATCCCAATAATTGGGAGTTTGATTTTACCGATCATCTGTGCAGTGGATGGTCGATCCGCGCGTGGAAATAAGGCAGGAAAGTGGAGGGCGACGCGAAGGAAGGCTTGAAATTTAATCTAGATTTAATTTGTCAACGTTTCCGCCCCGATATCCTCTTCGTGGTGGAGGCTTTTCAAACTTTCCGATCCTCGAGTTACGTACATTGTACATAAGACACGAGATGGTGCGATCGATCGATTTATTTCGAAGTAATTTGCGCCGGCTCGGCATTTCTTTGATCGTGTAGAGTTTTAAAGACTCTTATCTTTTCTGACGAGTTCTCTCCGTGTGCGTGAAAGCGGATTCCAAAACCTCTTGAACATAACCTTCGTTATAATATTATCCTTTGTAACGTGGTTCAACCCGTTCCCAAGGGTCATTTCCGCGGTATATAATAATAAAGTGTGTACGTACACGTTGCTCGCATCCACTTGTCTTATCCGAACTTTTGTTTTATTATATACTCTCGAGAATTACTCTGCTCGAAACATTTTTCAAACGGGGAAGGATCTGACCTGGGTAAAAGGCCAAAGGTTGGCACCTTTCTTTCTCACCTTATCGACCTACCTTTTTACGTGCAACGTAAAAAGAGAAAATATTTTATCCCCGGATCGGATAGAGAAACAAACGGATATCTCGATTCTACTATTTTTTCTTTCCCGTCGATACGAAAAAATTTCGAAAAATTCCAGAACAAATAAATATCATCGATTTTCTTTCGCCATTCCTCCTCCCTCCCTCTGTCAAAACACACAGCGCGTGTCCCCCTTTTTTTAAGCCGATCCCTGCCAAATCGAAGCGACAAGCTTTCGTCGTTTTCCAGACGAAATATTCCACACCGTGCAGCACAGAAAGGGACGAAGATAGGGGCGGAAGAATATCGGGGGGCAGAGAGATAGGGCGGCGTCACGCGTGAAAGCGTATCGCGCGGAAACAGGTGTTCCTCCGCGGTCGACACGTTCGGCCATCCTTCCTCTCGAAACGTGTTAGCTGCACGTAGAGGGGTGAAGGGGTCGAAGGTGCGCCGATAGCGCTCCGGGTCACCCAGTGTATTTGCATCCGCCCTCCGGGTGCATCGGTCATTCGTGCGTTTCGTGGATAATATATAGGGGAGGAGGCACGGTTCTTAACTGTGGCGGGATTGTTGCGATTACGGCGATAGGAGGGATCTCTGCACAACACGGATGGATAATCGCGCAGATGAATTAAGGGTGGGTCGTGCGGCGACGTAGATCACGCCACGTCACCATCGAAATCGAAACACGAATCTCGACGCCTCGACGTTGTCGAGGATATTGACGTTTTAAATTGTGCCAACTCGGAGGATATTCCGCAGGTTTTGTCGAGTTTATTCGAATGTATATATGATGCGTGGTGGAGGAAGCGTTGAATAGGAAGGGTGAGACGAGACGTTTGATCGAGAAAAAAAAGAGAGAGAATATATATATATATAATATATATATTTGAAAGACTTTTATTAGGTATGATAAATAACCCGGGAACTCGAATATAATTTTATTCGGCGGGGAAAATTTGTTATAGAATTAAAAACGCGCGAATTCATTTTAATTTCACGCGAAGAGACACGCGTCACTCGTACAATAATTTTTCACTCTACACACACTCCCCGCGGTGTAATCGCGCGCGATCGTTATTCGACGCAATTAATTAAAAGGGAAATCAGCATAACGTCACGGATGGAAATTGTTTGAAATCCGCTCGACGCGGCTACGACGTTGTTTGA